CTAGAAGGTACTATGCTAAGTGAAATATGTTAGACGAAAATGACAAATACCATATGATTTCACTTATATGTGGGATCTAAAGAACAGAATAAACTAACAAACAACACAGAAAACACTCGAAGATACAGAAAACATTTTGATCGTTGCCAGGTGGGAGGGAGATTTGGGAACTGGGTGAGAAAAGTGAAGGGGTTAGGAAGTACAGATTGGTAGTTACAGAATAGGCATGGAGATGTAAAGTACAGCATAGGGAATACAGTCAGTAATGTTATAATCATTACGGATGGTGCCAGGTGGGTACTAGATTAATGGGTGTGATCACTTTGTAAGGAATATAAATGTTTTATCACTATGCTGTACATCTGAAATGAATATCATATTGTATGTCAACTGCAATTAAAATTTTTCTAATGTGACAATATATCATTTCATTCAGGAAAATACAAGTAAAATTGGAAAATTCTTGTTTTCAGTAGTGAACAGACACATTAAAGCACAATTCAACCAACCTATTTGAACTTTCTCCATCATCTTGTTTATGTGGTTTTCTTTGGGGGACGGGGGTTGTTTTTCTTAGGTCATACAAAAAAGCACACCAAGATTTCCTGTAACAGTCACTTCTACAATTACATTATTATTAAACAGCTAGCCATAGGACTTTTTGTGATAAACCCGACCAATAGGGAAGTGAATCTCATCACTGCCGCCAATCTAACAGGAACCTAGCCCAGTGGTCGGCAAACTCATTAGTCAACAGAGCCAAATATCAACAGTACAACGATTGAAATTTCTTTTGAGAGCCAAATTTTTTAAACTTAAACTATATAGGTAGGTGCATTGTTATTAACTTCATTAGGGTACTCCTAAACTGGCCTTTGCTAAAAACTTCCTCAATCTGATTGAAGCATTTTCGCTGAGCTCGACCCCTTCCAACTCTCCCATCCACACTCGTCCTGTATACTTGTTTCAGATAGACGAGTGTGGATGGGAGAGTTGGAAGGGGTCAACCTCAGCGAACGTACCTCAAAACAATGTAGCCCCCCCCCCCCCCCCCCCCCCCCCCCCCCGGCACTTCATCGCCCGACTGACACACCCCACTTCTTGTAAAGCCACTTCTTCAAAATAGACTCGCGCAAGCCGAAAACTGACTTCTGTGCATGGGGCACGAAGTTTCAATCGCACTGTACGTGGCATTTTGTGGAAGAGCCACACTCAAGGGGCCAAAGAGCCGCATGTGGCTCTCGAGCTGCGGTTTGCCGACTACTGACCTAGCCCAAAAGTAAGGAGGGGCAAATCATCTGAGAGCAGGAAGGTGATCAACTGCCTTAAGGCAATTTTACTCCTGGCCTGAAGCTACTCACAACTCTTGCCCCTCTACTCTTCTATCAAGAAAGCTGGAGAAGAGAGAACTGTCTTGCTTTTTTAAGTACATCTCCGACCTCTACCGCTACCCCTGCATGTTTTAGAGAGGAAAACACAGACCAAAATTAAAAAGATAACTGGACAAGTAAAATACCCAATGAAAACCATCATTAAGTCACTGATAAATTAGGGCACTTTCTTCAAATTAAGCTCTGTCAATTAGGCACTTAATAAAAACAAATGACATATATGCAGACATCTCAACAACTAAGAAAGATTAAAAACAAAAACAGAAGACAAGACTTATACTTACTACCTACATTTTGTTTTGTTTTTTAAAATGGGATGTTATACTTTAGCCAGAAATGTTTGAAAGAAATACTATTTAAGAAGAAAAATACAGTATTTTCTTGTTCCTTAGGAATCAATACCCTAAGTTTCAGAGTTTTTAATATATAAATAATGCTCGGATATTGACTAAACAAGGAAAAATTAAGGCAGTGGCTTTAAGCTCAATAAACAGCTTATCCGACATAAACAAATCAAGCTTGTGTTTGGATACAACATTGAATAATTATGGCTTTAAATATAAAATGTTTCAAAATTCCACATTTCTTATTATTTTTTTATAGCTATGTGGACTTTGAATAGTCCATCTAGTTTTAAATAAAGGAATACTTTTCATATAATTTTGGAACAAAATGTGAATGGTCTTGATCTAAAACTATTGATTTGGATAGTAAATAATTATGTTCATATATACCATAGACCTAGTATTTTAAAAAGGAAGACTTATAACTGTCAAAATATAATTGCTAATGACTAATGTCCTTTGGAATTTTGCTACAAAACAGAAGATAGAAAGTTTTGAGGTACTGCCGCCTTAGAATCTTTCCAAGGTTTGGGTAAAAAAAAAAAATAAAAAAAATGGAGGTTTAAAAATTTTGTTTATTGTCGTTTTAAAAAAATCAGTGTTTTTTCTCTTCAGTTGTGAAGATCATTTTAAGTCTCCTCTCAGTCCCCATTGTATTGGTGTTCCTGAGCTCATCTCATCTGCATGTCACATGCAGCCATCTGCAGTTTCAGCCATTCTGTTTGGTGCTATGTCTTGTTATACCAATTCATGGAGCGTTTCACTGCCTTCACCCAGTTTTCCATACTCATTTCATATTCCTGCCATTTCTTCTGTGGCTTGAAAACCATTTCACTTTGTCTCAGTTTCTTTAGTTCCTCCTTGTCAGTCCAAAACCCTATAGATGAAAAAATTATTCTCAAATTTTAAAGCAAATAGTGAGTCCATAAAGTTTACCCACAAACCTATGTGAATTGGTGTGAAGGTAAATAATTATTATTTTGAAACACAATCCAAAGTATTTTGCTGCTTTTGAATTTTGTTGGATTCACTGTCCCAGGGAATGAATACAGCAGGATTTAAAAGTCTTTTGGTTTTAACTATTAGCTTTATGTGTACATGGCAGAGCACCAAGATGCTTCTAGAACAACCATGCCTTGTCTTCATCATTTAATTTCATGACTTGTTAAGAAAAAAAGTAAGAAATAGCATATTTTCTTCTTATAGATTAAAAAAAACAAAAAGTTAAGAATGTATCTTGAGGGGAGAGACAACTCCTTAGAACAGGGGTGGGAAACCTTTTTTCCGCCAAGGGCCATTCAGATATTTATAACATCATTCGCTTAATTTAATTCACTTAATATAAACTTATGTTGCTATGAAAAAAACTCCTAGATTTATTGAATTTTTAGTCCCACCTGTGGTTGCTTGGCAAGACCAGATCAAAAGATTTCTAGGGCCTTAAACGTTCCCCAACCTTGCCCTAGGTCAGTGATGACGAACCTATGACACGCGTGTCAAAGGTGACACACGAACTCATTTTTTTGGTTGATTTTTCTTTGTTAAGTGGCATTTAAATATATAAAATAAATATCAAAAATATAAGTCTTTGTTTTACTATGGTTTCAAATATCAAAAAATTTCTATATGTAACATGGCACCAGAGTTAAGTTAGGGTTTTTCAAAATGCTGACACGCCGAGCTCAAAAGATTCGCCATCACTGCCCTAGGTATATGCACAAAATTTAAAAATGGGACTTACTAGAATAAACTTTCTTTTCAAACTATTGTATTTCATACAAATTACTTAAGTTCCTATTCAATATAATGTTGGAGTTCTGGCACACAGTGTTCTTTAAATAAGCAGCAAGAGCACACAACTATGAGCACAAGTGGTCTAAAACAGCAGAGGTCTTGGTAGTAAAATTGGCACATCTCACTTACTCTGAAGTACTTAGTTGACAAGTCTTGTGATGTACGTTTTCTCCTACCAATAAAACTGACACAAAATTCTTCCTTCTAAAATTTTGTCAAGTCACAATCTTTCTATTTACAAAGTTAACATTTTAGAGTCTCTATATTTAAAGATATTAATTGATAGAAGTTTCTAAAAGACTAAACATAGTTTTAATTAGTATAATACAGTTAGATCAATCTAGTCATAAAAATAAATATGTTCTTAAAATTCGTATTTCCAGAATTTATTATTTAGACCAAGGCATATATATTTCTAAAGTTATTTTATTAAATATGCATGGAATAGATCCATGACTGAGTGACTTTTGAAAACAAAGAGGATGTGCACAGCCTTCAGTCTCAAATGTCCGAAAGAGAAGCCTTCTGACTAGAAGTCTCAGCTATTCTGAGAAGGTGAAACTGCTTCCCTGCAGTGAGTGCAGTACCACTTCACTAAAAAGGTTTGAAATTAAAAACAGATATAATGAAGCAGATGAAACTCAAGCCACTATGTTATGTGTATGAATAATCTGCACATGCTTGTTATTTAAATTATTTTAAATGTTCAAGAGAATCTGACATACTTCTTATATTAGAATTTTATGAGAATTTGATTTATTATAATTATAAGCATAATTTATTCAATTTGCAAGAGTTATTTAAGTACTTTAGATTTTTCTTGTTACAGGTCTAAGTTTGCTCAGTTAGTTATGTAAAACTAGAGGCCTGGTGCATGAAATTTGTGCACAGGCAGGGTCCCTAGGCCTGGCAGTGATAGGGGCCTTCCGGCTGCCGGCCGGGGCCTCCCTTCCCTGGCTGCCAGCTGCCAGCCAGGGCATCGCTGCTGCCTGCTGGCCCGGGCTTTCTTTTGTTCCACACCGGCCCCTGGTGTTCAGCGCATGTTATAGCAAGTGATCGAACTCCCAGTCTCCCAGCCGACCTCCTGAGTGGACACTTTGCATATTAGCCTTTTATATATATAGACTAGAGGCCCAGTGCATGAATTCGTGCACGGGTGGGGTCCAATCGAGCCAGGCTGGCAAGGGGGAGGGGATGCAGGAGGTTGGCCAGCTGGCCCCGCCCCTGATTGGGGTGGGAGGGGCTGATGAGGGGTGGAGCTGAAATCGGCCCCACCCCCTGGTCAAAGTCCCAGTCAAGGGGACAATTTGCATATTAGCCTTTTATTATATAGGATTATTTTAAAAAGTCAACTATATTAAATTTTTAAGGGTTGATATATACAAAAAACTTAAAATTTGTAAATGGGAATGACCAAGGGAAAGTTTTTTTCTTAAATTTGAATTAATCAAATATTAGTCAATGAACAAAGGAAAGTGTGATAATTTTATTCAAAGTTAACAGATTTTTAGTAAAATTAAGGTGAAGTTAAATTTACCAAGATTTTAGGTTTTTTGGATTTGTAACTTTACTATGTTAAGTCTTAGCCTAAAGTTTAACTGAAATATTCTGTTTTGCACAAACACTCCTCCCTTCCATACAGGAACACATTAAAACATTCTCAGTGTCCCAAGGGAGTATTTCATAAAGAACTCCCTAATGGTCTCTGCACTTCCATTCTTTACCCTCCAAATTAGTCCTTTCACTAACTTCCAAAGTGATCTGTTCAAATGGAGATCTATCCATGAGCCTCTCCTGCTCAGAGTCTTCAGTGGCTCTCCAATGCCTTGAAGATCAAGCCCCAAATCCTCTTCTTGAGGAATCCACCAGATCAGAAGTTAAAACCAAGGCCAAACAATGTGGGCAATTTACAGCCATCTTGTATCTATCAAGCCATTATCTTCCCCAGCCTAGGACACAAGAGAAGATAGTTAAAAAATTTCCCTAACAAAAGGACGCAAAAAGGGATGGGGAAAGGAAAGATAAAAAAGGTGGTGGGTTCACTCCTTAAGCAAAGAAGCTAGCAGTCTCAAGGCTTAGCAAAATAAAGTTGCCAGGTGCTTCTCATGATTTCTGGGAGGCCACAACAAAGTAACAGGGAACCTTAAGATATAATCTGTACCAGAATATTCAGCAAAGTAATTTTTAGACATATGGACAGGAGGGTGTATGATGCCTCAGAACCCCACCCAGCATCTTCTTCGGATTGGCTGGGGCCCATCTATACTTCATAACCCAGATGTATATGTTTACTTGCTTTGCTTTTTCAGTAAAGGTATATGCTTTAATTGCCTGTATAAATTGACTTTTCACAATACAGTAAAGGTCTCTCATATAAATTAATTTATATGGGGAGATGAGGATCCAAATTGGGAACAGCCTAGAACAGTGATGGCGAACCTATGACACGCGTGTCAGAGGTGACACGCGAACTCATTTTTTTGGTTGATTTTTCTCTGTTAAATGGCATTTAAATATATGAAATAAATATCAAAAATATAAATCTTTGTTTTACTATGGTTGCAAATATCAAAAAATTTCTATATGTGACATGGCACCAGAGTTAAGTTAGGGTTTTTCAAAATGTTCGCCATCATTGTCCTAGAACATTCAGCAGTCTGCAGCCATTTAGTAAATTCTATGTTCCTGAAACCAAGGACACTTAAAAAGTAAATGCTTTACACTATTCCTCCCCAACCAGAGGATAAATAGCTTAAGTCAATCTACATAAGCAGAGAGATAGCAGTAATCCAATTAGTGATGGAAAGCTTTGTCAAATAAACAATAACTATATTACACCTTCACTTATAACTCTAATTGCTATTCTAGAATATTGTATTGAGGAGGAAACTGGTCTTGGAGAACTTGTTATCTAAATGGAGAGGCTATGGAACTGTGAACAATGCACTGCCGGGGGTGGGGGGGGGGTGGGGGTGGGGGGGGTGGGGGGGGGGTTGTTATGCTGGTGCCAGGACGGACCATCTGATGTGGCCTGACACCTAGGGACCTTCCTGCAGGGCCATGAAGTGGGCAGGAGGCATATCTGCAAGACAAAGACACCAGTGGGATATATATAGACAGGCTCTGCATGTTTCTTCACTCTTATTTGGAAATTATTCCCGGAGTCCACTAGTATTAATAAGCGGGGTCCCTCCCTTTCTCTAGGAAGCGTGCTTGGTATTTCTTTGCTCTTCCGCAACATATGGTTCCCTGAACCAGGAAGCTAACCGCGTTTTGCTCTTGCCTCCATTGAGTGGACAGGGTTTGGGGCCTGGGTGCGCAGGATAGGCCTCCAGGAGGCGCACTCTGCAGATTTTAGCAGAATTGAACCAGGGGGAACTCCTGGTGCTCCTGGACCTCAGCCCAGGACCTGGCCGGGATCTGGAGAAAGTGGATGGACACCTCTGGAGAATTGGTAAGGTAGGGGCCCCAGTCAGTCAGGCCCACTCCAAGTGAGTGGAATGGGAAGCTTGATCACCTCCCCAGAAGTCATAGGACTTCGTCAGGTAAATCAGGAATCAGGACTCCGGAGGTGAGTGAATTCAGATTCGATTAAGGAATTATGGGTTCACTCTTCTGTTTGTTTGTGTGTGGGACTAGTCAATTTGCTACCGAGTAGGGGGGCTCGATGCAACCTTAACTCCTCTGGTAGGTTCTCACCGAGACGTCGGTCAAGAATTCTGGTCTGGGGCATGGGTGCTGGGAATGCCCCCATGCCCATCTGGGGAGTTGGGCATTATCTGCTCAGCTCCAGTCTGGGCTAGTCTGAGGGAGTGTGAGTACAGATGTTTGTATGTCTTGGCATAATTATCTGCTGATTAACTGGTCTGTGTGAAAGCAAAAACTACTTTGATTTTCTGTTCGCTCATTTGGTTAAAACGTTTGATTTGCTGAAGGCTGAACCCATGATGGTCTGCAAAAGTCTCAAGCAGCGCTGTTGAGTTAGTTTTCTCAGAGATGTTTGCTCTCTATCACGGGAGGAATCAGCCCACTTAGTAAAAATTTCTGCCTATGTTTGTATACTAGGGACTTTGGTTTGCTCTGTGATTTTGCTGTGTTAGGTTGAAATTCTGGAATTCTAGGGTAGATTTAAAGGTATCTGTGGCTTTTCTTATCTGACTGGGACTTTCAGGAGCAGGGCTCACAGCTCTGCAGGGCGGGGAGATTTTACGGGCCCTGCCCCCTGCCTGTGCTAAATTAAGGATCTTGTCTTTCAGGAGACCCTCCAGGCTTTTAGTAAAATTTCCCTGCACCCTTGTCATCCTCTGCCTTCTTTTCCAAGCAGACTAAGAGTTATTTTCCTCCACAGGTCGGATCCCAGCCTCTAGGAAGGAGGGCTACTACAGTGACGGCCTGTAGTTTTCTCTGAAAACTCCCGCTGTTTCTATTTCTCTCCTCTGTAGGAATTGTCTTCCTCTATCTCACAATAGGAAATAATACAGGCCAGTGTCATTTGGCTTTCTGGTTAAAAGACAACGGGCCCTGGAATCTGTAGGGCCCTGGAATCTGTAAAAGTGGCCAGGAATGAAGCTGGTCAAATGTACTGAAAGGGTTCGGTACCTGTTGCTGCTAGCAGAGGAGGGGCTGATAGCCCCTTCTAGTGCACTCCCTTGGGAGAGGCCTGATTGCTGCTCTGCCACAGGGGACAGGTATGGAGGCAGGGGCCTGGTACCCAACCCACTGCCACAGGAGTGCTATGTAATGCAGGGCTATTTCTAACTGCAACTCTGGCTGTTTTGGACTGGCAGCTTATGGCAGGACCCTGTAACTAGTCAACAGGGTTAACAAAAGGGCAAAAAAAAAAAAGGCGCTCTCCCTGGACCTGGGAGGGAGCCTTCAAGACTTTGAGATTCTCCAAGAGAGGAGAAGTCTGACTGAGGGACTGGCCAAGACCCCATTGGGTTGAGAGGACCGGAGGCTGCATATTGAACTTGTAGACTGCAGTTTTCTAGGCAGAGGTCCAAGCCCAGTTGTATAGGGGTTAAGCTACCTGTGTACAGCAAAGCAACTTTCTCCTGTGCCAGAATACATTTTGGGGAATTGGACAGACTGTGTTTGTGGCTGGAAAGAGGAACCAGCTGCCACGCATAGCCCTGACAGTGGCCTGCAGAAAACTGTATAATAGACTTAGAAGATGCCTGCGTCTTTATGGACATGGCTCCAAAGAGACAAGGATATTGTGACTCTTACTATTCTAATTGCTACAGTTTGTCTCTGCCAGGTCACAAGCCCACCTCCTTCTGTGCCCAGGCCTCATTGTCCCTCTGACAGATAGCAAGGATCTCTTGGCTCTGAGAGAAACTTCTGACCCATCTCAGCATGGAAGTAATTACAGAAGAGAATTTCAACCCCATTTTCCCTGAAAGAATTCAGAGCCAGGATCCTTGGGGTAATATATTAGGCAGTAAGACAGACATGAGCGGAGCAAGGATGATGGGCCAACTGGCACTACCAGATGTGTATGTGAGACAAGGGGCATAGCCAAAGGGGGCCTCGCCCAAAGTGTTGGGCCTTGGAAAAGACCAGTAGCCTACTTGTCCAAGAGACTTGACCCTGTTGAATCCAGTTAGCCTGCTTGCCTCCGGGCGGTAGTGGCCACAGCTATGCGGTTGAGGTTTTGCTCGGGAGCACATCAGAGCCCTGGATGTCAAATGCTCGAGTCATCCAGTTTCAGGCTCTTCTGCTACCAGAACTCCTTCCTGATGATAACCCTGAGGAACCTCTACATAACTGTTTAGAGGTCGACGACTTTGTAAAGACAGCCCACCTGGGCCTCACTGACACCCCACTGGCATCGCCGGATGAGGTACTATTCATGGACAGGAGCAGTTCTGTCCAGGGAGGAATCAGGTATGCGGGGGCGGTGGTGGTTGCTTTGGATCAAACCACCTGATCTCAGGTGCTCGCCTGCAGGACTTCAGCACAGAAGGCCGAGTTGATTGCCCTTATTCAGGCTCTCTGGTGGGCAAGAGAAGAATCAGTGACAATTTGTGCTGATGGCGAGTATGCGATTGCAACAGCTCACGTGCGGAGTGCTGTTGCAGAGTATGGGGGCTCCACAGAGGCAAGAGGGAACCGGGCCACAGATGAAGCAGCCCGGAAGGCTGCCCTGGAAACCAGTGGGGCCTCTACAGATTCTGGTGGGTAAAGGCTGAAATCCATAACTAATTTTTACTCAAGTTCTTACAGGCTTTACAGTCTACCCAGAAAGCAATCCAGAAGCATGTCTGAGATGTTCTGCCTGTACCAACTTCTGATCTGGTCCATCCCTTCCAACCTGGTGACTCTGTTTGGGTAAAGACCACCCAAGGACTGACTCCTACCTGGAAGGGACCACATACCGTCATCCTGACCACCCTCGCCGCTCTCAAGGTTGCAGGACTGAACACCTGGATACCAGAAACACCCTCTGTGGATTTGTTGCTCCACAAGGCTAAAAGAAGCTTGTGGGACAAGGTGGGGGTGGGATGAGGAGGAAACTGGTCGTGCAGAACTTGTTATCTAAATGCAGAGGCTATGGAACTGTGAACAATACACTGCCCTGGGGGGGAGGGTTGTTATGCTGGTGCCAGAACAGACCATAGGATGTGGCCTAACACCTGGGGACCTTCCTGCAGGGCCACGAAGGGGGCAGGGGGCATATCTGCAAGACAAAGACCCCAGCGGGATATATATAGACAGGCTGTCTGCATGTTTCTTCACTCTGATTTGGAAATTATTCCCAGAGTCCACTAGTGTTAATAAGCGGGGTCCCTCCCTTTCTCTAGGAAGCGTGCTTGGTATTTCTTTGGTCTTCTGTAACAGTATTTTGCAGAAAGGACAAGATTCCATGTCATTTGTATTATACTCAAATCCATAACCATGTCATTTTAAATTTCTTCTTATCATTTAGAGATAGTCACTGTTTTATTATAATGCATTTAGAAAAATGTTACATCTTCTGAGGAATCCATGGAAAGGACTCTAACATTTTCAGATCATTCCCTTCAAACTGGATGAAAATTATTAGAATTCTACAGACTATCTGGATTTATAGAAGTACTAAAATGGAGTATTACCATCATACAGGAAAAATCAGGAGAAACAAAAAAATTAATTATGGGGCTGAATGAACTGAAAATAATTATAGTTTTTATAACTTTTGAAAGTATTGCTGATTCTTAATCTTTTTATTTTTCAGACTGAAGGAAACTTGTTTCTTTTCTTAAAGCAATTTAGTAAATTATATATTTTTCTCCCTACCGCATCCCTCCAGAATTTGGCAATTCTTAATGAGTAAATCATGGCAATGCATTTCTTTGCATTAATTTAATAAGACCACTTTCCAACTGCCATTTTATTGACTAAGACTTTGACTAGAGTGTCATGTCTGAGAGAGACATGCTTGGACTCTGGATGTCACCAGAAAAAACTTGACGGCAATGTGAACGCCTTGGAGAAAAGCCTGGTACCTTGCTTGGTACGTGGTTCATGGTAGTCTTTCCAGGTAAGGAATGAAAGTTACTTTCCTGAAAGATGTCAAGAAAGGAACCTCAAGGAATTTTGGGCACCTCAAAAACTTGGGGAATTCACCCAAGTCTACAGGTATTGTAGGCAAGCCTGATGGCAAGTAGGTGGCTCAGCTTCTTTAATGAGCCATAAAAGGCTCATTAAAGCTCAATCATGAAAAAAATAAAACAAAAACAAAAAACCTCAATCATGAGATTCCAGCAAAGCAAATTTTAAAAGAGCCTATACAGTCAATTGTATTATTTGTATTCCTGCAAATAATCAGGCCAAATTGCAACTAGACTTAATTTGATCTTTAATAAAAATGAGGGTAATTTTAGAGAGAACAATTGTGTCTCAACAAACTCTATAGTACACAATTGGGAATAGACTCCAGTTAATTGTTTTGAAGTTTTATTTTTCATATATGAATTGAGCTAAATTCTAAATTTGTTTGGTTTTTTTGGATGTTTAGCTACAACTCTTCAAACTAATGCTTAATTTTCTCCCATCCTTTATTTGGAATCATTGAGTGTTTTAGTACTGGGCCATTTATCATAATTCTTGTTGTTCAGTTTGTCTCCACTAGGTTATAAACCCTACTCAGCTCAGAGAATACCACCTCTAGACACCATCGCCACCTCCTTCCATGCCCAGGCCTCATTGTCCCTCTGACAGAGAGCAAGGATTTCTTGGCTCTGAGGAAAAACGTCACATCTTTTGGTCAAATAAGCTTGACAACCTTCCAACGGTTTGAATTTTAAGGAACTTTTATTTAGGTCATTCCAATAGGCCCAATTCGCCCTACAGAAATATTTTAACCACCTAGGCCACTCTAGAAATCAGACCAGGGTTTGTTCCCTTTCCCATTAAGGGAAATCACACAGGCAGCACAGGAAATCTTATTAGTAAAGTGTGACTGCCTGACAGATACTCAAATATGGTCACACACATGTGAGCACCAGCAGTAGGGGGTTAAGTCAGGACCTTCCCTATGAGCAAGTCTAGCCAGGAAGGTCAGCTATTAGTGTGTGTGCACTAACAGGCAGTCTTTCTTGCCCTACACAGGAGACGTCCCACGGGGGCCCTAACAAGATGGGACTGGTAGCCTCTTTGTTCATTTTGTCTTTTCAGATGGGGAACTCATCTGCCACCAAGGTCAGCACACCCTCTAGATTGCATTTTGAGTAACTGGGATTCGTTTGATCCACAAACCCTGAAGAGAAAGCATACTTAAGAATGGCCACAATATAAGCTTGGCAGATTGAGAGGCATGGCCCTCAAAGGGGAGTATTACCATCATACAATTAAATATTTTCTGTAGGAAGGAAGGGAAGTGGTCTGAGGTCCCATATATTCAGGCTTTCTTTGCCTTAAGAAACAATAAAAAATTGTGTAAGCAATACAAAATTGATCCCTGATGCCTGGAAACATTGACCCAAAACGGTATAAGAGAGCCAAAAACCCTTAGGAAGGTGATGGGGCCTAGTGGCCCACTAAATACACCTGAGCCATCTTGTCTTCCTAATCCAGGACCCCTAGAAGAACAAGTCCTGCCTAGTCCTGCGGGAACTTGGCCACCCAGGCCCCTCGCTACCCTTTGCCCTCTACAGGCAGTGGCTGGGGGAGAGTCCAGACCCATCCAGGTCCAGGTATCATTTTCCCTACAGGACTTAAGACAAATTAAGATGGATTTAGCAAAGTTTTCAGATAACCCTAATAAGTACACAGATGTTTTTCAGGGACAGACATAAACATTTAATTTATCATGGAAGGATATAATGCTTCTTTTAAGTAAGACACTCTCAGGATCAGAGAAGTGGTCAGTCCTAAATACAACTCAACAGTTTAGAGAAAATACTTCTTAGTAAATGTCAGTGGGGTCCCCCATGATCAGATTGGACAGTTTTACCCCAGGGCTTTAGAGATAGCCCCCATTTGTCTGGTCAGGCCTTAACTCAGGATTTATGTCAATTTAACCATCTGTAGACCAAAATATACAAAGGTCATTAGATTCACTGGCTCACATGGTTCTAGATCATAGAATGGCCCTTCCTATATGTCAACAACCCTTTTAAAATAGATCTTAGAACACAAGATATTCTTAAACAGACTATATAGTTAAGGGAGAAAACATCACATTCTCAATCTCCTAAAATTTAGGCTCAAATCCATGGTATGCTACCTATTCCTAGCGTTATTGTTTGGCTCTTGTATACTCAATTGTCTAACTCTATTCATCCTCTCTTGCCTAGAATCCATCAAACTACAGATGGTCATGGAAATGAAACTCTGAATGACATCTTTCCATCTTCCACGGTCCCTTAGATCGTCCGCCTCCGATGGAGCCCCAATACCCCTTGCTATATCCCACTTCAGTTGTAAGTTGCTAGAACAGTCATTGCCCCATTCCCAACAGCACCTGGGGTCTCCAAATTGGAATGGGAAATGAAGAGACAGAAGGAAGCTAGGTAGAGAGGGGCAGGACTATGGGAAGGGAAAGTAATACCCAAGAACCCAACTATGGGGAGTTACTAAGATACCCCAACTGGGCGGGGAAGGAAAGGTATGTGAGAGAGGCATGAACTTTAAAATGTATGGATATTACTAAGGTAGCATAGCCAATCAGGAACTAACAAGCATATATACAAAAAAAGAGCACACTTGAGTTTCCTCTTTCTCTCTTCCCCTGGTGCAGCACACAATGGATACCTGATGTTCCTGTTGCGGGGGCTTATGGCCATGTGGGCCTCCACACGTGGACTAATAGACTTTAATTAGCTTGGATGCTGAACTACTCCTGGCAGTAACATGAAAAGAAAGCTCTGGACACTGGGCTGCTCCTGAAACTCCAGCTACACCTTTTCCAGGACTGGCTTTTCCCAATAAACTTCAGTTCTGCTAATTATTTTTGCCTGTCACTTCATTCTTCGTTTTCTCGAGACAACAAACTTGGACTCAACATCCCACATTTCGGTTTCAGTACCTCTGCAGGAGCTGAATTCTCTGCTGGACAACTTAGTTATTACCCTCTCCTCACCTGGCTATCTGCACCCTTCAAAAGTGAGCTCTATGTTGCCTCCTCTGGGAATACTACACCATTTGCTTAATACTACAACTGTTTGCTATTTTTTCATACCAAATTTAATAATTGGTTAACTGTCTGCTCTCACCAGAGACTCCCACAGCAGGGCTATGTCTTCTAAACTCTTTATTCCCAGTAGTGATGGTCATGTAACAGGGTGCTCAACAAATGTCCAATAAATACAAAAATGGACTCAAGGAGTGAAGTGAGGACAGAAGAGGTGCATGGGACCCACCCACAGAGGTGGCCACAGGAGTGTTTTGTGAGTCATGTACATATGCTTGTGGAGCTTAGTGGACACCTAGGTTTTCCGGACCCTTGTTATAATTATACAATTTGGGAGGAGAAATGCTATCTGTAAGAAATAGTTTGCAAGATAGCTCTCATTTTTATAAAATCCACACATACCAACAGCAAGGCCAGCTAGAGAAGCTGCACCAAGGCACGACATATCCAGGTGAACAGGTCTGTCTATCTTCTCATTAATCAGGTCTGAAGTCATCTGCATGACAAAACTGTTCTTACAAACTCCTCCATCTGCCCTGTGGGGAGCAAGATATTTGAGATAAAGTACCACAACAAAAGCATAACAACATTTTTAAGAAGAGTCATATTTTTTTAGACCCTTGATTTTACTATTTAATTCCAAAATTATATCACTTAGCATTGACCTGCAGACACAGGACCTTACTAGGTAATCTTGAAACATTTTCCCTTATTCCTGCTATCAGTTTTTCCACCTACTCTATTTGTTCAAAACAGACCAAGTGAACTGAGCCAACATACAAATTCATTTGGACATTCTAGCAAAGAAAATTTGATGCTTCTATGCCAAAAGGACAGCCACACGCCCAAAAGTGGTTTTAAAGATTTTTATAATATGGGTGCTAAGATCTTCCCAAATTCCAAAGTGTGTTATATTCTCCATAAATCCCAAATCGACTTTTCATTCCTCGTCAAAACCCTATGTTCAAGAATTTTGTTGCAAAGGATCTAGGTTTAAGTTCTTTTTGAAATACTGAAAAACCCTAATGATGGAAATACTCATGGTAGCTACCACTTCCTTCCAATTTCTAATTACTTCTATTAGAAACAAAGCATACATACCGGATTTTTGTCACGGGAATACGGATCTCTTTCTGCATCACCTCATATAACTGCTTGTTTCTAGTTAAAAAAATAAGATAACTATGTAGATAAAATTGAAATCATAGTAATTCTCTATTTTTCTAATCTATAAAAATATAAACTATGGTTTTATGTACATAATATATATATAAAGTATGCAAAAAGGTATTAAAGAAATATGTTCTGCTAACTAGAAATGGGTAACAGATGTTCAAATAAATAAGAGGCTCAAGGCTTGTGCTTCTCACCTCCATACAAAAGAGCACAATTTTTATTTTCAAACTGAATTTTATCTATAACTGTTCCTACAAATAAAAATACAAAACAAGCATCCGTTTAATAGATAGCTATTAAGATGGCATGCCATAAATTATATCTTACAGAATTAATTAAATATAGAACTAATCCTATATAATAAAAGCCTAATATGCTAAGTGTCTGGTTGTCTAGTAGGATGTTCAACAATCAAAGCATAATATGCTAATGATATGCTAAGGCTGCTCAACTGCTCGCTATGAGGTGCACTGACCACCAGGGGGCAGACGCTCTGACCGGTAGGTTAGCTTGCTGCTGGGATCCGACCGATCAGGACAGAGCAAGACAGGCCAGACATGCCCTGGAGCCCTCCCGTGTCCCTCCCCAGCCCCGATTGTGCACTGGTGGGGTCCCTTGGCCTGGCCTGCACCCTCTCACAATCCGGGACCCCTTAGGGGATGTCAGAGAGCCAATTTCGGCCCGACGGCAGAACAATCGGTCGCTATGATGCACACTGACCACCACAGGGCAGACACTCAACACAGGAGCTGCCCCGGGGTGGCTAGTGTGTTCCCACGGGGGAGCACCGCTCAGCCAAAAGCTGGGCTCATGGCTGGCAAGTGCAGTGGTGGTGGCAGGAGTCTCTCCCACCTCCGTAGCAGCGCTGGCTGGGGATGTCCAATTGCTGGCTTAGGCCCACTCCCTGCGAGGGGACCTAAGCAGGCAGTTGGACATTCCCCAAGGGCTCCCGGACTGTGAGAGGGTGCAGGCTGGGCTAAGGGACGCCCCCTCCCCAAAGTGCACAAGTTTTGTGCACCAGGCCTCTAGTCATTTTATAATCACAGGAAATTTTATTTTAAACATTTGAATTTTCAATATTCATGATAGCCACATTCTTAATTTTAATAAGCTACACCTGCCTCATAAAAAAAAGAGCACTGGAAAATATACATAAAAATAATTTTGATAATTCAATCTTTGAGTATCACAGAAGCATATTAAAATTCTCCTTCATGAATACAAAAACCTTTGAAAGTCCAAATTTTAAACCTCTTATGCTTAGGAAATTGGATATTTTTAAAAACCATTAATTTTCATATATCAAATCTAAGTGGTACTAGTACTATTTAATATGAAAAAATAAAAAATGATATGAAAATTAGCAGTAAGAACAGACTATGTCATATGTAGTATGAATTAAAGGTATAAATCCTTGATTAAAATTATGAAATTTCTAGTTTTATAGAAGCTAATAAAAGAAAACGGGAATACCATAAGGGGAGAAAGGAGTTTAGAGCAGCTTTTGGTACCTGAAAGCTATGGACTCCAATATTGCTCGTACAAGATGGTATTTACTAGTGGAAGGCTTCAAACCCATAAAAGAGGCACATGCACAGGGGTCATTTAATGGAGCCTAAAGTAAGAGATAGTAAGAATGTATTATTATTGTTCTAAGTCACATCTATAGACTTAAAGACATATTATTCAATAAAAATGAACACATTAGAAAAAAAATCCCTATTATAGTTAAGTAGCTTTAAAATAAATAACAGTCCAAAATTATATTAAATATTACCATAACTTTTTAAAAGGGCTTGAGCAAGTTTGAGAACTGACATGGGACTTACCTGGGCCTTCTGTTTGAGCTCATACCAAGAAAAGGCACTGCGGTACAGAGTGACCAATTATTAACAGCCCAGCTTTATTAATGAAGGCAATGAAAAATAGTCCTTGTACCCCCTTCTCTCCAGTTGTAAGGTTTTTACACATAAAGTTGTGCACTGCATAAAGGAGCTTTTCGAGGACATAAGTTAGACTCAAGATAAAGAACAATAATGCAAAAAATGTGTTTTTCAGTGTCATAACTTATACCCAATTTGTCACCAGACACTCAATCGAGTACTCAATTTCTTAGCTTACAGTCTTGTTGTCTAATATGAGAAATGACCCAGCCTAACATCTGTCTTTAAAAAGAGTCAAAATCTTGCCCTGGTTGGTGTGCCTCAGTGGGTTGGAGTGTCATCCTGTATACCAAAAGATTGTGGGTTCCATTTCCGATCAGGACACATACCTAAGTTGCAGGTTTGATCACTGGAGGCAACTGATATCTCTCTCTCTCTCTCTCTCTCTCTCTCTCTCTCTCTCTCTCTCTCTCTCTCTCTCTCTCTCTCTCTCTCTCTCTCTCTCTCTCTCTCTCCCTATTCCCCTCTTTCCAAAATGAATAAACATAACCTTGAGTGAGGATTACACAAATTTCTTTTAAAGAGTCAAAATCTTGAGCTGGATGTATTCATCAGATGAAATGTGTATTCATCAGATGAAATTTGTATTCATCTTTGAAATGCAAGACAATTTTGGAACAGAAAACAGATTCCTGCCAGGCTTGCAGTCTCACGGGGAAGCAGACAGAGGAGTTCCGGCACACTTACATAAGGTCATGACAGGGACATGCCAGTGCTGTCAGGAACTGATGGTCCCTAGAAAAAGTACCTGCTAGTTTCAAGCACTCACATATCATCTCTTTACCTGGAAAACTTTCTACCGCCCCCTTTCCCTAGTCAATCTTACTACCACTCTAAAACTTGGCTCAGCTTCCTCCAGGAAAGTTACTGACGCCAGAGACTAGACCAGTCCTCAATGATATGTTTCTGTGAAAGCCTCTAACTTCCCATTACATCAGGTGCCACAGTTTATAATCACAGGTATGTATGTGTGTTTGTGGAAACTCCACTGTCTGTGGCCCTCCATAGGAGATCCACACACATCTGCTCATTGATACACATTGAATCAATGAACAAACAATACTTTTCCTAATTACTTAACTGAAGAAATTCTACATTATATCTTATCTTTACCGTAGCTATAATTTTCCTCCTATTGTGAATTTACCTTGGTAATTTTCAAGTTCATTAATATCTTTTGATGATTCACTCAGTAAAAGTTGATTTATACAGTGAAGCTGGCCTACAAAGATAGGCTAGACCAGGGGTGGGCAAACTTTTTGACTCGAGGGCCACAATGGGTTCTTAAACTGGACCGGAGAGCCGGAACAAAAGCATGGATGGAGTGTTTGTGTGAACTAATACATGTTAACACTGCTGCTGGTGAAGGAGCGGAGGGTAGAGCAACAGAACCCTCCGCTCTTTCGGCTCCGCGGGCCGGATAGAATAGCCGAACGGGCCGGATCTGGCCCGCGGGCCATAGTTTGCCCACGGCTGGGCTAGACTCTGCCAATTCATTTAGTCCCGAAGATGCTATGGGGTTTCTCTGCAAAAAAAATTTACTTCTTCCAATCTACCACATAAAATTCTGATATGAATGGCTTGAAATCACTTTTATACAAATAACTATGAACATAATTTACTATAACTAATACACCAATTTTAGGGGTAATAAATTCCACTGAAGCCTAAAAATCCCTTGATAGGTTACAATATCCCTGCATTAGTTATCCCAAGGGACTCTCTCTGGAATGATATGGCAGAAAAAAAACACTGGGAAGGTCCTTTTCAGGTCCTGCTCATACCTAGTCAGAGCAGACAGCCACCAGTCACCCTTCCAATATATCAGTGCCACTGCCACCGAGTGGGCCTCCCAGAACCAACCACCAACCAGGACAGCACAACCCGGCCAAGTTCTGTTTGGTACCCTAAGCAAAACTTGCAGACTCCTGCCCTGCCCTGCCCTGCCATGCACAGACTGTCCAGCTGGCAGGCCTCTCACCATGGGGACCTTGGCCCAGGTGTGGGGCCTTGTGGGCAGTGAATGTGAGCAGGCCTCTGTCCCAGTCCACCGTGACCTGACAGTGCATTCCTCTGGTACCTGCTGTGTCATTCTGCTGTCTTGGTATCTACACTCTGCCATGAGAGAGTATGGCAGAGGTGACTATAACCTGGACCCAGGAGTCAGGACATTTAATCCTAAAACCAGAGCTGCTGCTCAGTAGTGTGTGAGATTGGGCAAGTGATTTAACAGCTAACCCTCAAATCTCCGGTCTTCAGAACAGGATCCAAAGAGTATCTCATGTGTTACTGAGGAGTAAATGAGATAATGCATGTGAAAAATTTAGGACAGAGCCTGACATGCGGTAAGAATTCACAGCTTAGCTACCACTACAATCTTTATTTTACCCACCCCCCTCCCACTACTACTAACTTTCTTCACAATCCTTTCAATGCACCATCTAAATGCTTCCTTCTATTGTAAATAGATTCCCCTAACCCAGTGGTCGGCAAACTGCGGCTCGCAAGCCACATGCGGCTCTTTGGCCCCTTGAGTGTGGCTCTTCCACAAAATACCACGTGCGGGTGCACACGTACAGTGAGATTGAAACTCCATGGCCCATGCGCAGAAGTCGGTATAGTTTATATAGTTTAAGTTTAAAAAATTTGGCTCTCAACTGTTCTCAAAACTGCCTGGTACTGGCACAAGAATAGGCATATAGATCAATGGAATAGATTAGAGAGCCCAGAAATCGGCCCGAACCAATATGCTCAATTAATATTTGACAAAGGAGGCAAGAACATACAATGGAGTCAAGATAGTCTCTTCAATAAATGGTGTTGGGAAAATTGGACAGATATACGCAAGAAAATGAAACTAGACCACCAACTTACACCATACACAAAAATAAACTCAAAATGGATAAAGGACTTAAATGTACGACAGGAAACCATAAAAATTCTAGAAGAATCCAAAGGCAACAAAATCTCAGACATATGCCGAAGCAATTTCTTCACTGATACAGCTCCTAGGGCACTTGAAACTAAAGAGAAAATGAACAAATGGGACTACATCAGAATAAAAAGCTTCTGCACAGCAAAAGAAACCATCAACAAAACAACGAGAAAACCCACTGTGTGGGAAAACATATTTTCCAATGTCATATCTGATAAGGGCCTAATCTCCAAAATTTATAGGGAACTCATACAACTTAACAAAAGGAAGATAAACGATCCAATCAAAAAATGGGCAAAGGACCTAAATAGACACCTTTCAAAAGAGGACATTCAGAAAGCCAAGAGACATATGAAAACATGCTCAAAGTCACTAATCATCCGAGAGATGCAAATCAAAACAACAATGAGCCTGTCAGACTGGCTATCATCAACAAATCAACAAACGACAAGTGCTGGAGAGGATGTGGAGAAAAAGGAACACTTGTGCACTGCTGGTGGGAATGCAGACTGGTGCAGCCACTATGGAAGACAGTATGGAGTTTCCTCAAAAAACTGAAAATGGAACTCCCATTTGACCCTGTGATTCCACTTCTAGGAATATATCCCAAGAAACCAGAAACACCAATCAGAAAGGATATATGCACCCCTATGTTCATAGCAGCACAATTCACCATAGCTAAGATCTGGAAACAGCCTAAGTGCCCATCAGTAGATGAATGGATTAGAAAACTGTGGTACATCTACACGATGGAATACTATGCTGCTCTAAAAAGGAAGGAACTCTTACCATTTGCAATGTCATGGATGGAACTGGAGAGCATTATGCTAAGTGAAATAAGCCAGTCAATGAAGGAAAAATATCACATGATCTCACTCATTCATGGATCATAGAGACCATTATAAACTTTTGAACAATAATAGATACAGAGGCAGAGCTGCCTCAAACAGATTGTCAAACTGCAGCGGGAAGGCCGGGGAGGGTTGGGGGGCAGGAGGTAGGGGGGTAAGAGATCAACTAAAGGACTTGTATGCATGCATATAAGCATAACCAATGGACATAAGACACTGGGGGATAGGGGGGGCTAGGGGACTGTCTAGGGCAGGGGGATAAAATGGACACATATGTAATACCCTTTGTAATACTTTAAGCAATAAATAAAAAAAATAAATAAAAAAATAAAAATAAAATGCCGGGGTCCAGCCCCAGCGGGTCCAGGGGTCCCCAAAGGTGTAGACGGAGTCGGCGAAGAAGGAATGACACGGAGACAGCGTTCAGTTGATCAGCAGCCTAGCCAGGATCTCTAGCCAGGATCTCCAGCCAAGTTCTGGTCTGGATCTCCAGCGAAGTTCTGCTTAGGATCTCCTGCCAGGGTCTGTCCAGGTTCTCCAGCCAGGTTCAGTAGCCATGTTCCCTCGCTAGGTTCTCCAGCCAGGTTCTGTCCAGGTTCTCCAGCCAGGTTCAGTCACCAGGTTCTAGTCAGGTTCTTTTGCCCATTTCTGTAGTCAGGTTCAGTCCAGGATCTTTTGCCATGTTCTCTCCAGCGAAGTTCTTCTGTCTGTAGGTTCTGTGTAGGTTCTGTCTTCTGAGTTCTGTGTTCTAAGTTCTGTATTCTAAGTTCTGTGTCTTGCTGTCTTGTTACAACTGTATTTATACCAGTTGATTCAATCCTATCAATCTCTATTACAAAGGTTAGGGCGTTTCTTATCTCCATTCCAGGGAGTAAAGATTATGTAGCTTAAGCATGATTGTTCGTAGTTAAAGTGATTAATTACCCACCTGGCACTAGTTAAGAGGTTTTATTCCCTCCCTAACTTCAGGGGAAAATCCCTACCTGGGGAAACAACCTTTCTCAGAGACCTTGGTTAAAACACATAGTGCCAAGAAGGTGAGCAAACATATTAAGAACAGTATGCCATATATGCCAGGTCCCTTGAAACAGCAAGCATGGACCGGCTCCCGGCAATAAAAATAAATAATAATAAAAAAAAATAAAAATAAAAAATTTGGCTCTCAAAAGAAATTTCAATTGTTGTAGAGAAAGATAAATACCACATGATCTCACTCATTTGTGGATTATAGAGAACAACATAGACTGATGAAAAGGGACAGACTCAAAGACTGAGAAACAGCGTTCCGGCTATCAATCCCCAGAAGGAAAGTAGGGGAGGGCGGGGGTAAGGGGAAGAGATCAACCAAAGGACTTGTATACATGTATATAAGCCAAACCAATGGACATGGACAACAGGGGGATGGGAGCATGAGTTTGTGTGTGGGGGGGAGGTTGGGGGTTAATGGGGGGATGAGGACACATTTGTAATACCTTAACTAATAATAATAATAATAAAAAAAAGAAATTTCAATTGTTGTACTGTTGATATTTGGCTCTGTTGACTAATGAGTTTGCCGACCACTGCCGTAACCCATATCCACTTCTGAGAAGTTCCCTCCACTTATTTTGTGGGTGCTGTAACAAACCTGGCTCTGGGTTGGGCAAATGGCTTTAGTTGTAGCTATTCAGTATAGGTTCCTCAGGCTTCCACACCACAGGGACAGAAGGAAACTATACCGACTCCCCTGACCACTCTAGGCCACTGTGTCTCTACTGTTAGCAGACACTTCCCTGTGCCCCCTTGCATGCCTGGTTGCACATTGTCATGCTGTGTTTCCTTTCCACTGCTCAGATACCCCAGTCACTCCCAGAACCAGAGATGGCATTCACAGTACTTGCTGGCCACATCCCTTTGCAGGGAAACTGCTTGAACCCATGGCCCTGTTCTCTGAAACAGCCATACCTCAAGCCCTAGTCCCACAGCCACTGCACAACGATAAGAAGTGAGCACAACTGACTCAAGTCTGTCCAAAGCTAGAAAAATAAAGGTGGCTCAATCAGACTCCCTCCTTGGAAATTGTAACTAGGAAACATTGAGAAAAAGACCATCAATGGGAATTAAAGGATGAAATTAAAAGGATGTAAAAGGTGGAAAAAGGCTGTGTGTATTTACAAATTGTGAAGAAGCAGAAAGCATAGGGAGAATAATGACAAGCAGAAGTTATTAGGAAGAAAGGACATCCAGCAAAGCTACTGATGAGAAGAGAAAAGCAGATGTACAGAGAAGCAGGAAAACAGAACACTCAGAACTGCACAGCTGGCCCTGAGCCCTTTCTAATCCATCCTCAGGGGCGTGCGACACAAGGAAGCCTGCTTCTCACTTCTATGCACCCTCACAGCAGCATGACTAATCCCTGAAGACTGTCACTAGCTCACAGTCCTGTCCTCTCTTCTGCTGCCACCATCACAGGAACTTTCATGCCAAGTAGAACCCTGATTCTCGCCTCTGACACCTGCTGTGAACACTCTACATCAGCAGCCCTCCCACAAATAGGACAGCACAACCTGGCCAAGTTCTGTTTGGCACCCTAAGCAAAACTGCTAGAGCACCATCAACAGCCTGCACCAAGTAATGCTCCACGCACTGCCTGCTGCTCCCCCACCCCTCTGCCATTTCCTGAAGTGGCTGGCCCCGTCACCCTCACTCTCCTCAAATCTTCTCCAGCAACCCTTTGCTGGCAGACTCCCTTGAGAAACTGAGGCTATTAGAAACCTTTACCATCCTGCCCTCCATCATCTATAGCTGTGACAATATTCTAAAATTAAAGGCAGCACCACTTATATTTGTCCCTTCCTTCCCTCCATTCCCCTAATCTTCATTTTCTCTAATTGTTGATAAACACAGCTTATAGGCAACCTCTCTCCTATTTTCCAAGCAGCTTACCATCAACACACTATTGTTGTTAATTTAGCTTTAGGGTCTCCAGTTAATGCTTCCATTTCACATTGGGGAATATGTGGCTTTGCAGGCTTCCCTCACCCCTCCCGACCCCAAAGTACGGCCAGGATGCAGTCATGGTAGGACAGGGGCATTTTGTGATCAACATGAAATTTAAAGCCCTATCTGCAAGTTTTCTCTATTTTTTTATTATACATTTTATTACATATTATTTTTTACAGGTATATGAATTGATAGAGGAGGGAAACACAGAGTTGACAAGATACAGTCACACAAAGTCCACCAGCACATTTTTTAAAAGGGGAGGATCCACATAGCCTAATTAAATCCCACCTCTGCTGATTACTATTCATGTCACCTTCCTCCTTAAACTTCAATCAGAATTATTCACTCCCTCTGATGTGGTGGATGGTATTTTAGCTGCCTCCCCTCATCCTGCAGAGGATGCAATGGAAGTTCTAGAGGTAGTTTATGGACCTCAGGGTACAGTACACAGAAAGTAGGACAGATATTAAAATAATGCTCATTTTGAAAATTTAGTTTGGAAATATGGTGCTTTTAGAGACTTAAGCCATTCTGATCTAATTTTTTTTCACCAGCTTCTAAATTCTATGATCCAAACTTTTGAATTTGGGACTTTTTTTGTAACTTATTACCAGAGCAAGGGATGGATTAGAAAAAAAAGAAATTTTTATTTTTTGAAAGGAAAAAACATTTAGATGGGGATTAAAAGGACTGGTATAAGCTTTCTCAAAAAAAAGGGAGGGAGGAATTTGTTCATAATAATATATCTGAGTGTTTTATGAAGTCTTTATAACAATAAGCATGTTAAAGGTATTATCACAGATCTTTCAATTAAATAACAAAGTTAAGTATTATAAAATCAAGTTTTTTACTGAATTCACTTTTTGATTAGGTAGTAACCAATAATATATCACAATAAAATTTTTTGATTTTTTTAAATTGATTTCAGAGAGTAAGGGGAGAGAGAGAGGAAGAGATAGAAACATCAATGATGAGAGAGAATCATTGATCAGCTGCCTCCTGCATGCGCCCTACTAGGGATTGAGCCCATAGTCTGGACATGTGCCCTAACTGGGAATCCAACTGTGACCTCCTGGTTCATGGGTTGATGCTCAACTACTAAGCCACACCAGCTGGATAAGAATTTTTTTTTTAAGTTTAATATAACTTATAAAGAACTGTAAAATATACACATATAGATGTGGGGGGAGGGCGCATGTGTGTATCTGTCCATTATTTTTCTAATTCTCAATGATACACTTCCTCTAACTACTGATAGATTTCCCTTCACTGGGAAATGACTCTTTTGGTCATGATAAAATAATCCTGGGTCTTATGTAAAAGTTCTATGATAAACCTGCCGACTTTTCGTTTCCACAGGGGTGGGGTTCTAAGCAGAAGCCAGCTGAATTAGCTGTGCTTTCTTGTGGAATTCATACTATGTCATACCATAACTTATTAGCCCTAGAATGTACCTTTTACCTTAGTCGATTAAATACCCAAATTTTCAGGTAAGGGCATGGCAGATACATAATTTTAGGGGTGGGCATGAGGAAAGAAATGTTTATTGCCCTTAACTATTTCTTACATACCTGCAAACCACTAAAACACGGAACAAAATAAACCCCTTCAGAATCTTCCAAACTTCTGGCCATTTTTTCAGTCTCAGCAGCATCTGTGAAAAGATCTGCAAACATAAAAACAAACAAACAACAAAAAAAATGTCTAAAACAAAACGAAAAGGTTGAGGAGGAACAAACTATTGTATTATATCACCAATATTTACCTGTGTCCACATTTATTATGAATTTAATATGAAAGATTACTCACTTAAAAGGGTCAACACAAAGGCCAATCTATTTGGGTTCCTTTACTTGCCTGGGTTTGGGAGCCCACAGAAGGGCAAGGGAACCAGAGGCCCTCTTAGCTCAGCATGCAGCATGCCTTACTTTTCCTTTAAAGATATTTAGGCTGTCTAAAAATATAAATATTAGGTGTGTTTTTGGCTTTAAAAGTTCATTCTTCTGAAGATTACACCCATTCCAGTTTTTTGATGAAAAGATCTCTCTTGGTTATTAAAATCTAGAGGCCTGGTGCATGGATTCGTGCACTGATAGGGTCCCTCAGCCTGGCCAGCACCCTTTCGCAAACCGGGACCCCGTGGGGGATGTCAGACTGCAGGTTCTGGCCCAATCCCTGCAGTCCGACATCCTCCAAGGGATGTAGCAGTGCAGGAAGCGGCAGGCAGCCAGGGAGGAGACAGGGCCAGGCGCCACTCCTGCTCATCCCAGCCCCACTGCACCTGCCGCTGCTGCTGCTTGGTAGTGCTGCCACAGAGGCGGGAGAGGCTTGTGCTGCTGCAGCTGCGCCATGAGCTCAGCTTCTGGCTGAGCAGCGCTCCCGCTATGGGACTGCACTTATCGCCAGGGGGCTGCTCCTGCATTGAACATCTGCTCCCTGGTGGTCAGTGCGCATCATAGCGACCGGTCAACTGGTCAGTCAGTTGCTTAGGCTTTTATATATATAGATAATAACCAACAGAATCAACTGAAAAACTACGGATCTTAAGGGTTCGATAAGGGGCAGTAACAATTAAATATATTAAAAGTTAACCTTTAAAAAAAAAACCAGACCAAAAAAAAATCAAGATCTAATTCATTTAATATGGTTTTTACTGATATATATACAGAAAAATGCACAAAGCCTAAGTGTATAGCTGAATGAACTTTCACAATGTGAATATAATAAGCTAACCAACACCCAGCTCAAGATACAAATTTCTTTGTTCAACATCATGCTTGTGAGATTCAGTCATTTTGTTACAAGTAGTTGTGCTTCATTCATTCTCACCCTGTAAGGTATTCCACTGTGTGACCATACGCAAATGATTAGACTAGCTATAGTTAATAAACATATGGGTAGTTTCCAGTTTTAGGCTAATAATAAACAGGCCACTTTGAACTTATATTCTTTTTGGTGAACATATGTATATATTGTTTGCTATATACCAAGGGATGAAATTGCTAGTCCTAGGAGCTTCACATTTAGGACTAGCTTTAACAGATAACTGTTAAACTACACTGAGTGGCCAGATTATTATGACCGGCCAGATTATTATGACCACCCCATCAGTACTTTGTTGGGCCACCTTTTGCCTTCAATGCTGCGGCAATTCTTCTTGGCACTGACTCCACGAGATGTTGAAAGGTGATGTGAGGAATCTGACACCATGCCTGATGAATAGCTCTGTCCAATTCTGTGAGATTTGATGGTTGTGGAACCAGCTGCCTGATGGCTCTTTTAACTTCATCCCACAAATGCTCAATTGGATTGAGATCTGATGATTGTGGGGGCCACCTAAGCAAGGTAAAGTCTCCCTCATGTTCTTGAAACCACTCCTGTACAATATGAGCACCGTGGCATGGTGCATTGTCTTGTTGGAAGAAGCCATCTCCATTGGGATACGCCATCAACATGATAGGGTGAACTTGATCAGCAGCGATACTTAGGTATGTTGTGCTATTCAGACATTTATAATGATCTGGCCCTCTAGCAACTTCAGCGCGAAATTATAGCTAATTTGCCTACAAATGTTAGGTGGTCATAATAATCTGGCCACTCAGTGTATTTTCCAAAGTGGTTCTACCAATTTAAGACTCCTGTATGGGAGTTCCAGTTACCCCATATTCATGCCAATAATTGATACCGTCTGTGTTTTTCATTTTAGCCATTTTGGTGGTATTGCATGATCGTTAGATTTTGTATTTCTCTCTTTACTAATGAAACTTCAATCCTTTTCATTCATCATTTGCATATCTTTGTTTGTGAGATCTGGGACTGACAACATAGATCTGATGAAAAAGCTCAGAAATCAATCATAATAAACATTGCTGCCTTATATAGCCTTAATTAAGTCAGTTTTATTTCTGCATGATTTTTTCTTATAAGAAAGAATTTGACAGCTGTCAGCCAGCTTTCTATACTCTGTCTCTATTTTGCTTATTAGTTCATTTTGTTCATTAGATTCCACATATGAGTAAAATCATATAAGTCTTAAATTCTGATACCTATGAATGTGGCTTTATTTGGAAATAAGTTCTTTGCAGATGTAATTAGTCAATTTTAGGTCGTACTGGATGAAGATGAGCCCTAATCCACTGACTGGTGTCTTTATTAGAAGTCACTGAAAACACAGTCACAGACACACAGGGACAACTCATGTGAAGAGAGAGGCAGAGGCTGGAGGAAAGCAGCTCCAGGCCAAGGAGCTCTAAGGACTGCCAGCCACCACCAGAAGCCAGAAGAGACAGAAAGCTACTGACACCTTGATATTTGACTTCTTGCTTCCAGACCTGTGAGAGAATAAATTTCTATTGTTTTTAAACCAACAAGAAAAGAAAAAGAGAGAGAGAGAGAAATAATTGATTAAAGACAAGAAGTTTAAGAAATATCTATATTAAAACTCAAGTTTATGAGGATCATTCAATAATAATTATAAATTTTCTTCAAAATGAGAGTTATCAGAACCATAAGTCACATTCACTAGGTCAAAATGTCCAGATAATACATTAAAATGTCTGTAGCACTTCAAAAACTGATATTAAAAAGAAAACATTGGTTTTGAAATCTATACTTACTAAAAAGTCATGTCCAAATTGAGATGTGGAAAACATATTAGAGGTCTGGTTTAAAGAACATTTTTGGTAACATGAAGAAATGGTAAAAAACCTAGTTTATCCACATTCTTCACTGGTTCTTCCATTCTTTCTTGAAAAATTTCTCTAAATAATCTTCCATGTGAACTGTTCTCAAATGTGTAGACCTCACTCTGTTTCTCCCATAGCATGCAGAGAAGAATCCTGGCTGGGGCTCCTAGCCACGCTATCTGAGGGCTTGAGCAGAAGAACAAGCTTGCAGTTAACACTGGAACTCCAAGTTCTACCAAATTGGCGGGAAGTTCCCTGCATTTTTATTTCCTCCAACATCCTGGCCTAGACGCAGAGACAGCCTGAAACCAGAAACATGTGTCTGTGCACTGGGTGCAAATACGAGGAGCTTCTAAATAAGCCCCCTCTTTCTGGTCTGAAGAGCAGGAGTCAGGTGGCCTTTAAAAAATAGAGTGGGGAAATTATCCTTCTTTATGCGTGTGTGTTTTTCATTCTACCTGAACAAGAGAGGAGGAAGATAGAGACAGGGTAAGAGAGAGAGAAGAGAGAGAGGAAATAAGAAGAGAGCCTCAGGGGTCTGTGGGACAGTAAGAAAATGCATAACATTGCTGTCATTTAAATTCCAGAAGACAAAGAATGCACCGCAGAATAACTATTTGAAGAAAAAAATGTCTGTAAACTTCCCACAGAGCAATAAAATGAACAAAACAGAGATGAATTTCAAAGGCATTACACTGAGAAAAAGAAACAGTCTTGGCTGATTCTACTCTGTGAGTCCAGTTACTGTGTACAAGATTGTGGAAGAGGTAAAAGTATAGGGATAGAGGAAAGATTAATTGCTGCCTGAGATTAGAGTGGGACAGGGATTGACTACAAAGGAGTGACACATGGTAATTTGGGGTTGATGAAAGTGTTTAGTACAATAGTCACAATCCTGATTGTGGTAATGGTTATTCAGTCTATGTAGGTCTTAAAACCAGTAGAAGTAACCAAACACAAAAAACAAAGCAAACACAGGCACTTATAAACATATTAGAGGCCCGGTGCATGAAAATTCAAGCACTCGGAGGGGGGAGGGGATCCCTCAGCCCTGCCTGCGCCCTCTCACAGTCTGGGAGCCCTCGGTCCTTACCACCTGCCTGCTTGCTGCTCCTTAGTGCTGCCTCCGAGGCGGGAGAGGCTCGTGCCACCACAGCTGCACTCACACAGCTTCTGGTTGAGCAGCGCTCCCCCTGTGGGAGCGCACTGACCACCAGGGGGCAGCTCTTGCATTGAGCGTCTGCCCCCTGGTGGTCAGTGTGCATCATAGCGACCAGTCATTCTGCCATTCAGTTGATTTGCATATTACCCTTTTATTATATAGACTAGAGGCCCGGTGCACAAAAATTTGTGCACTTGGGGGGGGGGGGAGGGGGGTCCCTCAGCCTGGCCTGTGCCCTCTCGTAGTCTGGGACCCCTCGGGAGATAACGACCTGCTGGCTTAGGCCTGCTCCCGGGTGGCAGAGGGCAGGCCCAATCCCTAGGTGCAGCCCCTGGTCGGCTCAGAGCAGGGCCAATTGGGGAGTTGGGGCGCCGCCCTCTGTCATGCACAGAGCAGGGCGGATTGGGAGGTTGTGATGCCACCCTCAGTCACGCTCAGGGTAGGGCTGATTGGGGGGTTGGGGCACCACCCCCTGTCACACTCAAGGCAGGGTCGATGGGGAGGTTGCGGCGCCACCCCGTCACGCACAGAGCAGGGCCAATCAGGGGGTTGGGGCGCTGCACCCTGTCACACACAGAGCCGCAGGGCAATCAGGGGGTTGGGGAGCTCCCCCTTATCAGGCACAAAGCAGGGCTGATCAGGAGGTTGGGGTGCCTTCCCCTGTCACGAACAGGTCAAGGCGGATAGGGAGGTTGTGGCCCCGCCCCCTGTCACACACAGAGCCGCAGGGCGATCAGGGGGTTTGGGCGCTGCTCCCTGCCACGCTGATCCTGGTGCCCGGAGGCCTCTCGGCTCCGCTGATCCTGGTGCTGGGAGGCC